CGGTTCTCCTTTCGACTCCCCTCCCCTTCGCAGCCCCGGGAGCCCGAAACAACAGAGCGGGGAACTATTTCCCGGCCTGCAGCCTCTTCCCTCTGTTACCAGCCGCGGCGGGCGCGCGCCGAGGACGACGGACTTCCCTCCCTTGGCCTCCCGCCCCCTCTCACGTACTGGCCAATCGCCGCCGGCGTTCCACTGCGCAGCCGCACGGGAGCCGGAGACGGGAGAGACTGGCTGCCGCTCAAGTGCCTCGTAGCATGGAGGCGTGTGCGCGCCCTTCTTTCCGTACTTCCAGCGGGGTATCGCGCAGCCGCCCGGACCTCCCTCCCCTGCCGCACGCCCCTCCCACCCCGCCACCACCTTCGCTCGGTCTGACTTCCAGTCGCGCTTTCGTCTTGGGGCTTGCTCACCGGGCGCTTTTCCTGTCTAAGCAGGCAGCAGCTTCTTCGCAGTTAAAAATAAAAGCCAGAAGGGAAGTTGTTGCAACGTGAAAGCCTCCTAGTAATCGTCTTTCTGACTAGTAAACCAAAGGGCTCTCCAAAACCAAGAAATACAGTAACCTCTTGCTCCGCCCCAACCCTCAATTTCTACCTAGCAACAGATGACCGAACCTCGCCTTGTAGCTAGGCTATTGGCCAACTTGAATCTTCATCTGCAATTTTGATTGGTCATCCGTGATAGTCTGAATGTTTCCAATTGGCGAAGCTGCCACGGTCTCCTCCCCTCCCCCCTTCCCCCCCGTTCGTCCGCAGAGGAAGCTGGAAAGGCGGGGTCGTTTCTGCGGGATTACTTTTCTGGGGCCGCTCCTGATTGGGCGGCGTGGTGCGATGCGCGCGACCCTTTAGACAACAAACTGTCAAGGGACCGGACCCTGTCCTCTGGGTGCGCCCACCCGTAGTCGGAAACCCAGGGGCAGACTTCCGGGCTAGGGCCCTTGCAGAGGGCAAGGGGTGGCCGCGGGGCTCAGGCCACATTCGCCTGGGTTTCCCAGCTCCGGGCACCGACATCAACGAATGCTTCTTGAATATACGTGCGAATAAAGAGCCGGGACGGAGGCAAGTCCTTTAAACTTCTCTGAGCAGTTGTCCCCGCCTACTTTCTTCCACTTCCAGGTCAGGGAGGTGTGTCCCCAAGAAAGGAGGAAGCAAATTCCGCCGGCGTTCGCACGCCTTCCACAGTTCCTAGCGAGCCCTTTGCGTTTTCGGGGTCTCCTGACTCCGGAGCAAGCACTTACTCCCTGGCTTTACTGTTCCCACATCCTCTCACTGACTCGTTTCCTGCTCTACTAGAGGTCGGGAATACCTCAGAGGAGACGGGGGGCTGTAGCAGAAACCAGCAGAGGTCGTCCCTGGAGAAGGGCAGTTTCCTGCCTTCACTCGGCTCCCAAAGCAGTAATTTTGCTCCCACCCGCAGAGCTTCAGTTGCCCTCTCGCTCCCCAGTTCCGCAAGACCACTGGGCGGCGGAGTCATGGACAAGCGCCTGCAGGAGGCTCAGCTGTACAAGGAGGAAGGGAACCAGCGCTACCGGGAGGGGAAGTACCGAGATGCTGTGAGTCGGTACCATCGCGCTCTGCTTCAGCTGCGGGGTCTGGATCCCAGTCTGCCCTCCCCGATTCCCGATCTGGGACCCGAGGGCCCGGCTCTCACACCTGTTCAGGAAAGCATGCTGCACACCACCCAGACAGACTGCTACAACAATCTGGCTGGTAAGAACAGGGCCGAAGGCGGGGGGGGGGGGGGGGAACCAGGCAGGTACCCCCAAATCTGTGAACATTGAGAAAACACACTGACGGGCTTTCCTGCTGTCATCTAGTTATTCTGCCAAGAATTGAAATATCTGTCCCCTGGCCGGGTAGCTCGGTTGGTTAGGGCGTGGTTCTGATAAGCCAAGGTGGCAGGTTCATGCCAGGACAGGGCACCTACAAGAAGTAACCAATATAACCAATAATGCATAAATAAGTGGGCAACAAATCCATCCCCCCCGCCCCCCCTCTCTCTCCCTTGCTTTCTAAAATATGTAAATAAAAGTTTAAAATCCTTTATCAAATATATACATATATACTTTCCCCCCCCAATTTATAGGGCTCTAATTGAGGTTCTGTAGAGCAGTCGTTCTCAAACATCACCTGGAGGGTTTGTTAAACACAACTCCTGAGTCCCACTCCCAGAGATTCGGATTTAATGGGTCCCAGGTGGTGCCTACTATTCGTTTGCATGTTCTAACCGAGTCTCTGGTGATGCAGATAGATTTAGGAAATTTTGCACGCTATGGAGGAAATACCGAGTTTACATGGAAGGGAAGGCATTTTAAAAACAACAACACATGTTTTTATTGATTTCTGAGAGGAAGGGAGAGGGAGAGCGAGAGATAGAAACATCAATGATGAGAATTATACATCCGTTGCCTCCTGCAGGTCCCCTCTGGGGATCCAGTGGGAAACCCAGGCATGTGCCCTAACCAGGAATCGAACAGTAACCTGGTTCATGAGTCCACGCTCAACCACTGAGCCATGCCGGCTGGGCGGAGGGAGACTTTTTAGGTCTGTTCTATGGAAGGCAAACTAACCATGGAGCTAATTAAATTATTCTAATGTATATTAAAATATTCTAACAGTCCAAGTTGAGGCCATAGAAATTATTGGGAGTAGTTTTTACACTTTGTAATGGTTGTTTAAAAGTGATTTTTTTTACTATAATACTCATCAGCTATGATTTGGTGAAAATCTAGCTTTTTTTTGCAGTGCATGTTCAGTGCTACTCTTGGGAACAAAACTAGGAATTAAGGTAGTTAATGTTTCAGTTCATCAAGTAAGGGAGATGGACAATTAACAAAAAAGTAACATAATTTTTAGAAAATGGTAAGTGCTGTGGAAAAGAAATAAAGCAGAAAATGGGGATAGTGAGTGCCACAGGCATGGGAGTGTTCACTTTTAAAGGCGGGGGGGGGGGGGGGAAAACCATTCAGGTGACATTTACGAAATGCCCTGGGCAGACACTGTTTAAGCCCTTTACACATATGAACCTAGTTAAGAGTCACATGCCCTCCGAGGTAAATTTAAGGAAACAAACAGCTAGTAAGTGGTAGAGCTAAAATTAAACCTAGGCAATTCCTTTTTTTAAAAAAAATATCTTATTGATTTCAGAGAGGAAGGGAGAGGGTGAGAGAGATAAAAACATCAATGATGAGAGATAATCATCGATTGGATGCCTCTTGCACGCCCCTCACGGGATCAAGCCCACAATCCGGGCATGTGCCCTTGACCGGTATTGAACCTGGGACCCTTCAATCCGCAGGCCGATGCTCCATCCACCGAGCCAAGCCGCCAGGGCTCTTTTTTCTTTTTTTAAATATATATTTTTATTGATTTCAGAGAGGAAGCGAGAGGGAGAGAGCGAGAAACATCAATGATGAGCCCTTCCAGGTTTGGCTCAGTGGATAGAGTCTGCAGATTAAAGGGTTCCCAGGTTCCTTCTGGCCAAGGGCACATGCCCGGGTTGCAGGTTCAACCCTCCCCAGTAGGGGGCGTGCAGGAGACAGCTAATCAATGATTCTCATCATTGATGTTTCTATCTCCCTTCCTCTCTGAAATCAATGAAAAATAAAAAAATTATGAGACTCATTGATCGGCTGCCTCCTGCACCCCCCTTACTGGGGACCGAGTATGACCATTTGGTGGGGGTGTTGGAGAAGGAATGCAAACATCAGCCCTTTAATGTTCTCATCAGCCCTGATTCTTGGTTCTCAGCACTGTGATGTAATACCATGTTTAATTCCCACAATTCTTTGAGGTAAATTTAAGGAATTTAATAGGGAAACATTTATGAAATAGAGAAACATTTCAATTTTTTAAAAAATGTTTTTATTTATTTTTTTATTTATTTTGTTGTTGTTAATCCTCATCCGAGGATATTTTTCCATTAATTTTTTTAGAAAGACTGGAAGTGAGGGGGAGAGACAGAGAGCCAGCCCTTGAGATTCAAACCCGGGACCTTTCAGTCCAGGGGCTGAGACTCCTCTCAACTGAGCCAAACCGAGTAGGGCTGTTTTTATTGTTTTTTTAGAGAGAGAGGAAGGGAAAGGGAGAGAAGATATAAATATTGATCAGCTGCCTCCTGCACACCCCCTCCTGGGGATTAAGCCTGAAACCCGGACCTCTTGGTGCATGGGACAACGCACAATCCACTGAGCCACACCGGCCGGGCAAAATTTCCCCTCTTAATTAGAAGGCAGAAGACTGACCTGATCAGTTACCTCCTAAACAGACTTGTATTTTGAGGTGCCATCAAATCATCCAAGGGACATTGAGAGAGATGAGGATTTTGGAGTGAGAGTCCTTGGTACCAGTTCCACCTCGTTCCACCTAGAAGCTGTGGCATCTTGGACCAGTTACTTAGCCTCTCTGAGCCTTGATTTCTTCATCCATTGAACTGAGGGAGTAACACATACCGATTTCATAGATGGGGTGAGAAGATTAGACAAGCACATAGCAGTGCTTGCTATCGCCTCAGACAAGAATTGTGGTGAAATGGAGACTCAAGACAGAGAGCCGTGGGTGGAAGAGACACAAAGAAGAAGTTTAAATACATTTTAAAGTATAGTTTTATCCGTTGTATAGCTGGGCCTAACTCAACATTAGGTACAAAGTAGGCATTGGGTAGATGTTGAAGTAGATTGAAGATGTGTAAAGCTTGATTCATGGCTGCATCCCCTGCCTAGAGGAAGGTCTGGCACGTGGCAGACACTTACATTTATTTGTTGGGTAAGTGAATGTTGTGATTCTGTGTTTGGTGCTGCCTTGAGTTGGCCAGTGGAATTTAGTATAACAAGGCCCTTCTCCCTCTTCTCTCTTCTTCCATTTGGCCGCATTAGCCTGTCTCCTTCAGATGGAGCCAGTCAACTACGAACGAGTGAAAGAATACAGCCAGAAAGTCCTGGAACGACAGCCTGATAATGCCAAGGCCTTGTATCGGGCCGGAGTAGCCTTTTTCCACCTGCAGGACTATGACCAAGCTCGGCACTACCTCCTGGCGGCTGTCAACAAGCAGCCAAAAGGTGAGAGAGAAGGGGGTGGAGTGGGGAGAACAAAGAAAATTGTCCTGTTAAGGGGGTACCTGTGGAAGGGGTTTTTGTTTTGTTTGTTTTTAATATATTTTTACTGATTTCAGAGAGGAAGGGAGAGGGAGAGAGAGACGGAAACATCAATGATGAGAGAGAATCATTGATCGGCTGCCTCCTGCACGCCCTCCACTGGGGATTGAGCCCTCAACCCGGGCATGTGCCCTTGACCACAATCGAGCCTGGGACCCTTCAGTCCATAGGCTGACGCTCCACCCACTGAGCCAAACTGGCTAGGGCTTGTTTTGTTTTACTTTTTCAAATTTTTGAATAGGTAATAATATATTCACATGGTTCAAAATTCAAAAACTATAAAAGTATACAATGAACAGGCCGCCTACGCTTACATTCTTGTCTCCACAGAAAAGCAATATTGTATGTATATCCTCCAGAAATCTCTATGCTTAAACGGGCACACACATATCATCCCTCCACTTCCCCCCAGTAGAAGAAATTTTAAGGCATTATTTTTTGCCCTGGCCAGTTTTTCTCAGTGGTTAGTGTTGGCCCTCAGACCAAAGGGTGGCAGGTTTGATTCCTGGTCAAGGTCACATACCTCAGTTGCGGGTTTGATCCATGGCCACTGTGAATTAATAAAGATATAAAACATAAGCCACTTGTTCATGCTTCTTACTTTAAAGTATATAGATTAACTGCCACCCAGGTATAGTATCTTTAGCGGCTCTGCTATGACAATAACTTTTTCTTCAACCTCCCTGTCATTATAAAATTAGCAACCGGCCCAGATGTGTACAAGATTTTTTAAAAAAAATCCAAAGTGATATTAATGAGATTTACTACTACATGGAATAGTAATGATATTTTCAGATCTTAGAATGATGTTTAAAAATGGAAGCATGTTAACAAATCTCCTCCTACCCTAAGGTGAGATTATGGTGTGTCTCTAATTGCCTTCTTCGCCCTCTTGTAAGATGCCAATGTCCGGCGGTACCTCCAGCTAACACAGTCGGAACTGAGCAGCTACCATCAGAAAGAGAAGCAGCTCTATGTGGGCATGTTCGGTTAACAGAGAAGAATGACACTTCTCCACTTGAACTTCGGGGAAAGTCTCATCCAGTGAACCCGAGCCTCGGAGGAGACACGAGCCCCACACCTCTGACCCAGGTGTCTTTCTGTCTTGTTTCTAGTCCTGCACAGACTCTGAACTACTTACACAGTCTGCCTTTGTTTTTTGTCTGTCCGTCTATATATTTGTATAGCTTTTAATACATGGTATTCTTGGGGACATTTGCCCTGAGAATTACAACCAAAATATATTCATCACCTGTATGTGGAATTAATTGTATCTATAGCATAGATTCTAATGATGGATGTTGTCAGATGTATTCATACACAGAGGAGAAGTTTAGCAGAGGATGAAGGAAGGATTGGCAGAAAGTTTCTTCCTTTGTTTTCTCAGATGCCCAAAGCCAAAATTAAGCCAGAAACTGGGCAGTATATTTCTCTTGTGAAACTAGACAATTACAAATTGGGCCCACATGTCTTAAAATGAAAGGTTTCAGTGCTCGCTTCGGCAGCACATACACTAAAATTGGAACGATACAGAGAAGATTAGCATGGCCCCTGCGCATGGATGACACGCAAATTCATGAAGCGTTCCATATTTAAAAAAAAAAATGAAAGGTTTCAAATTAAATTAATTCCTTATTTTTAATATTCCACATATATTCGGATTCTTCTTCCCCTACAAAAGTATCTGGTTCCTATTGTTTGGGTAATTTCTAGTCGTTGCTATTGTTTGTATTCAGATCATTAGAGTAGACTTATTTAATTTTTCATTAAACTCTTCTATTTTAAGATCTCTGGAGTCAAGCATTTAAGTATTTATTTAATAATCCTTCCACCCTCATGCTACAAAAACACCCAAGTAAACAGTTTAGTTTTTAATAAGTGCATTGCTACAGTATGCTTGTTTCTCTGAAACTTAGGAAAGACAGATTACTAAGTCTAGAAACAGTACCATGAACAAGCAGGGTAAAAGCATAAATCTGTTCTCTACCTGTCACCTTGTATTTTGCCAGAGCCCAGTTCCCCTACAGAGGAGGGAAACCATGAGGAAGGGTTCTCCTTCCTTAGTTAGTGCCTTTTAAGTACTGGTTTTTTTTTTTAATAATTTTTAAAAATATATATATATATTATTGATTTTTTACAGAGAGGAAGGGAGAGAGATAGAGAGTTAGAAACATCGATGAGAGAGAAACATCGATCAGCTGCCTCCTGCACACCTGCTACCGGGGATGTGCCCACAACCCCCAGGTACATGCCCTTGACTGGAATCGAACCTGGGACCTTTCAGTCCGCAGGCCAACGCTCTATCCACTGAGCCAAACCAGTTTCTGCTTAAGTACTGTTTTCAAAACCTTCTGGAAGCTGTGCGGGCACCAGCGCAGACTGCGGAGCTGATGCAGCCATGGCTCAGTAGGAAGCTCCATCAACCTTCCACTCACTTGTTGTGAATAATGTCCACAATGGAGTTCTTTCTACAGCGTAGAGGAGACCGAATGGCACTGCCTCTGCTTTTGTGAGTGGAGCGGATGATAAGCCTGTGTCATCAGCCATCACATAGCCACCGACTGCAGAAAGAAACACCTTAGTCTTGCCAGACGTACCTAAGTTCTTCTCCCTTTATCAGTCACTCCCCATCTCCCAATAAAATAGCTCCTCTTCCTGTCTCCCTGTTCCCTTCAATATTGCAACCATCAGCTTACAACACAAACTTCTTCTACGAAATAATCTTAATGAATCCAAGGATAGAACTAACAAAAGTAGAACATTTTATTCCTTTTCCAAGCCTCTTACATTTCTAAATCTAGATTGTTGACAAAATTTTGTCATGGTTGCATGTTTTGTTTGTTCGGGCTGTTTTTGCTTTCTGATTTTGTTTGTAGTTTGTTTTTTCAAGACAATGTTCCTGTGAGCTGTCTTCTGTATCAATGAGGAAAAAATAAAACCTATCTAAAAATGAATTTTAGAACGTGATTGTACTCACCTTTTCATTAACGCTGCTAAGAGACAAAGCGGTCCGGCTCCCATTCAGTCTTCATTTCCAAAGCCAGCGCCTAGTGATGTTAATGAACAGGAAAGGGACACAGGCAGGCAGTCTGACTGGGGCTGGAGGGGGGCTGGGAAGCCCACACCTGGAGGGCCCACCCAGAGGTACCACACCTCTGTCCTGAGAAGTTTGTGGAGGAGGATGCTGCTCACCTTCAATCTTTACAGGTTTCCACATGGGATTTCAGGGCTTGACGGAAGAGAGAGCATTCATGGAGGTGGTGACGGCTTATGCTCTGGCACATAGGAGACGGTTTCGAATAGTGTTTTCCAAACTCATACCCGCCCCCTTTACAATTTTGCCAAAACCACATACTATTTATATTACTATTTATATACGTAATTTAAATATGTATTTTTAAGGGAACCTTTGGTCAGAGGGACATGTTAGATGATATTGGGATGTAAATAGCAAACTCTAAAGTGAAACCATAAGATAATAACTCAATTTCCTTAATAGTAAATTGCAAGGAAAAGAGAGGGGAACCTATAGAGTAAAAGTCTTAAGAGAAGTCAGCCAAATAAATGTGACTCTGCTTTGGGATTCTGATTTGAAGAAAAAAAAAAAAAAACCACTAAAAGTTTATGAGACTGAATAGAAAAAATATGTATATATTGGTTTCTCCCTGGTTCCTAAAAACCTTGGAATTTAGATTCTGATTGGGGAAAAAAAAGTTTGTAAGACAATCAGGGACATCTGAACAAGAGTTATTGTCAGTTTTGTTGAGCATAATATATTTCGTCTTTTTTTTCAAGATTTCTTTTAGAAGTGCATACTGAAATTGCTTACTGATGCAACTGGGAAGGAACTTTAGAGCACATCATACCATTTGTTAAAAATAAATAAAATGGCCGAAACCGGTTTGGCTCAGTGGATAGAGCGTCGGCCTGCGGACTGAAAGGTCCCAGGTTCGATTCCGGTCAAGGGCATGTACCTGGGTTTCGGGCACATCCCCAGTGGGGGACGTGCAGGAGGCAGAAAAAATCAATAAAATATATATTAAAAAAAAAAAAGATGTAAAAAAATAAATAAATAAAATGTTTTATAATAAACAAGTATATGTCAAAGTAAACCATATTGTAAGCATCGGCTTTGGAAAAATTATTATTATTATTTTAATTGATTTCAGAGAGGAAGGGAGAGGGAGAGAGAGACAAAAACATCCATGATGAGAAAGAATCATTGATCGGCTGGCTGCCTCCTGCACGTCCCATACTGGGGATCTGGGGATCGAGCCCGCAACCAGGGCATATGCCCTTGACCAGAATCGAACCTGGGACCCTTCAGTCCACAGGCTCTATCCACTGAGCCAAACCGGAAAAGTTGGAACACCAAAATCCAATGTGAGATGGGCTGAACTGGTGAGTTTTGTGAAGCTGAGCTTGGCCATATGTCTGGCAACCGAAGAGGCATTAGCATTAAGTGAAGGCACAAAATAGCCAATTAGGAAAAGAAAGGAAATCCTAAACTAGAGATGAATATTTAAAGCAGGAGAGAAAAGAGTGTCTGAAACTGAAGTCAGTTTATAGCTCAAACGCAAAATAACTCCTCAGGGTGAAACTCTTAACAGGCTGGGGCCTGGCCTGAGCTGTCCCTCCAACCCCTCCACCCCCCATAAAAGGAGATTGATTTGGGCTCAGTAGAAGGAAGTATTATCCAATAATTAGAGGTCTCCAGCAACACCAATAGGTTTCTTTTGGGGACACTTATCTTCCAAACAGGTTTAACACCTGGCAGAAGGAGGATCACTGTTGGACTAGAGTCTAGATGAGCCAACCTGTGGTTCCATGAATCCATGGATGGGATGGACCATCAAAAGCCATGAAAACTGAAGATAATTCTCTTGAGCACACCTCCACTGACTGTCATAAGCTGATCCTAGCATCAGCAGATCGATAAAGTGAGGCAACTGTGGCCTTAATTGTGTCGGCTGCTGCTTTAAACATCTTGAAAATTCCTAACTGCCACTGCCAAAGAAGGATGCATCTCATCTCTAAAACTAACATAATATTGTGTGTCAACGACTTTAATTTCAAAAACTTAAAAAAAAAAAAAAAAGCATCCTAAGCTTGGAAGTGGAAGCAAATGCTTGCTCTTCAGGAGAATGTCACCAAGTAACGGACCCTCTGTAGTTAGGTATCAGGGTGGCGGAGACAGTAGCAATGGTTACCGTTCACGCCGTCTAAAGAAACTATATACAGTTATGTACACATGTGCACACATTTACTCTATCTTGCTTTTAGGAATCCGTGTCCTAAGGCAACCGATTCCTTTTTATATATTTCACATACCGTAAAATTCACCCTTTTAGAAGCAACTGATTCTTTTTAGGCATCTTCACTTACTCTAGGAATGACTGGAAAAGGTCCTCCGCTCAGCTAGAATAGCTCTTACTATATGCATGTACGTGGACCTGGTCTTATTTCACCAAGGAGTTCAGGCGGTAATGTATTCGCATGAATAAAGTTAGCCTTTTGAAAGAAACTAAAGGGTTATTCCAACACAAGGAAAGTGCAAGTTGCAGAATTCACTCTTTTCAGCCATGAACATGTTAAGCATCAACTTTTGTTTCCCATAATGTTGCCGATAGGAGCTTTCTGTGGCCAAATCTTCAATACTTAGCTCTGTCTCCTTCCCAAAACTCAAAAATAGTAGCTGATTATGACAGACAAATCCAAAAAAAATCAAAGAAATTCAGAAAATGTACTCATAGTTTCACCTTGCAGCTTTCCTTGCACTCGGTTCCTCCTATGTCGGAGAGGAGGGTTTGTAGGGAGCCCTCCAGTCCATCCTGCAGCAGCACAGGGGCAGGCCCTTCTTACACTTCTAGAACTTTCCCCGTCCCACATCAACACCCAAAACTCCCATTTCTCTGCTACCTCTCCTGTCAACCACCTGTGTGACCGTACGTGAGTAACTTCACCTCTAGGCTGTCATCACACATTTTCAGTATGATTCTCTCATCTGGAGTTTCTTGCTTTAGTTTTCCTAACCACCCATCATTTCCACACCAAAAGCCCTCAACTTCCCCCCACAAACCTATACCACAGGGCTTAGTGCTGTCTGCCTCTCCATTTCTTATTTTCATATTTATGACATGCAAGCAAAAATTTCAGGTCATCAATACAGTATATGTTGTTGAAACAGCCAACCAAAGGTCTTTCTACGTGGAAAACAGAGGTGAAGGGGTAAGGACGCAAAGCCGAACAGTCAAAAGGCGAGAAAAGAGAACAACTCATAGTTCTCAGGAAACTATTTTCAACCGTATTTTAAGCCAGCATAGTGAGCCTGGTGTTTTTTAGTCACAAGCCACGGTTCGAATTCCAGTTTGCCCCTTAACCAGCTCTGTGACCTTGAACAAGTTAACTTTAATTTTTGAATTTCAAGTTCCCTTGTCCGTGGGAAAAAAGGGGTGGGCTAATACCTCAGAGTTATTGAGGATTAAATGAGCACTTACATGAAGTCCCTAATACAGCCCAGTACAGAGGAGCTCACTACAATAACAAACACGATTGTGTAAGACTCCCTAATGTGTATACTTTTCCTACGTAAAGTCTACATTACCCTGTGCCTATGCCACTTCTTTCCTCATAAGCAACCTGATCCTCACCGCTACCCCAAGGACAGATGCCATTTTCTTAAAAGATCTAGAGCAGTGGTTCTCAACCTTCCTAATGCCGCGACCCTTTAATACAGTTCCTCATGTTGTGGTGACCCTCAATTTCATTGTTACAAATTGAACATAATTAAAGCATAGTGATTCATCACAAAAACAATATGTAATTATATATGTGTTTTCCGATGGTTTTAGGCGACCCCTGTGAAAGGGTCGTTTGACCCCCAAGGGGGTCGCGACCCACAGGTTGAGAACCGCTGATCAGAGGGATGAAAGCGGCAGGAGTCATGCAGGTTTGTGGAAGAAACCAGCCAACACCAGTTCAAAAAGATACCGTCACTGCTAGCTTTATGGTCCGGAATGCAGAGTGAGAAGTGATTACACCCAGGAAAATTCCCAGCGCCCTTGGAGAGGAACTGCCTGGGAGAAGAAAAGGGTGGGAGGGACCGTCAGCCCGGGCAGCACCCATCCCGTCACCCAGCAGGGGAAATGAGATGCTTCCAACCTTCTGTGTCGCAAGAGCAGGCCTAGCATCAGCTCGTGCTCCCCCAGATGTTAGTTTTTGGGGCCAAGTACAAAATCTTTGGGTGGCCCTCCACCAGAGTTCTGTCTGTCTGCTGTGGGGGAGCCAGGGAGGGGGTGCACTCCGAGGAGGGGGCTCGCCTCTGGATCGGGTTTGCTACGTTTGGCCAGGTCCTCATTGTGAGCCTTGCGGATGTGGCGGTACAGGTCCCCTGACTGCGTGTAGCTGCGCAGGCAGTAGCGGCACTCGTAGGGCCGCTCCCGTGTGTGCACCGTGGCGTGGCGCCGTAGCGTGTAAGAGCACGAGAAGGTCTTCCCACATGTCTTGCAAGTGGGAACATCCTCAGTAAAAACGCCAAAGCTTCCTGGGGCTGCTTCGTACTCAGAAGGCAGGTAAAGTGGCTCATGCAGGGCGGGGGGTGCGGGCAGGGGTGAGGTCACCAGTCCGCGGTGATACTGCCCTGGACCTGGCAGCAGATGGTAGGGTAGGTGAGGATCGGAGGGCAGAAACTGGTCACTTGGCCCCACCTCCTCCAGTCCTGCTGCCCTTGGCTCCTCAAAAGCCTCTGGAGGGGGAGGCTGAGCACCATACATGGCCTCCCCGGGTGGGAACAATCCCTCGGGCCCCTGAGGCTGAGCCTCCGACACATCGGGCTCCTCATCAGAAATCACAATCGCTTCTACTTTCACCTGGACCAGCTCAGCTTCCGCTGGGGTTGGGGCCTGGGACGGAACTGGGGCTGGGACTGGGGCTGCAGCAGAAGAGGGGCTGTAGAAGCCTTGCAATGGTCCTCCAGCTCCCCTTGGTTCCACCACCCTCAGACTCTCGGAACCCACGTCGAGGGGAGCCAGTGGCTCCACTGAAACTGTGGGAAGGCCAGAAGAGTAGTAGTTTGCAGGAAGGGGCTCTGTGGAGCTACTGGGGCTGGCAAGGGAGACATCCGCCACCGGTGGAGGAGGAGCCCGTAGATGCAGCGAGTCAACCTCCACGCCAGGCTGTGTCGTGTCAGCGCCGCTGGGCATGGGCGGCTCGTCTGGAGGACAGACAGTCGGTGAGGGAGCAGCAGGGCCTTTCCACTCCCCTTTGCCCCAGTGGCCCGATATCTCCGCAGATGCCAAGGAGGGCTGAGGGCCACGGGAAGTGTGGGACAGAAATTCCAAGCTCAGGGACTGTGAGCTGGTTTCCTCCTCCTTCTTGGTACTGTCTGCCTCTGCCAGGGCCCGGGCTTGCAGACGCCGCTTACACACCTTGACGATGTCATTCATGTGCAAGTAACTGGCAGCTGCCAGCACGTCTTCCACAGGGGTGTCCCCCCTCAGCACCAGCTGGCCAGCATACATGAAGTCCAGAAGCAGCCCAAACGCTGGGGCCGTGACAATCTCGTTGTGGATACACACCAGGTCCCTCTTGTCCAGTTCCCGCTCTTTGTAGAAAAGCTGGAAGAACGGGCTGCAGGAGGCGAGCACAGCCCGGTGGGCCAGGAACTGGGTGCTACCCACCATCACGGTGCAGTCGCAAAGGAAACCCTGGGACCGCTGCTCTCGGAGGCTCTGCAGCAGCTGCTGGCTGTGTTCTGGAAACTCCATAGCACCCCACGAGGGGCAGGCCCCTAGGAAGGTCCCCACCAGCGGTTCCCTGGGAAGAGAGGACAGTGGGTTAGGGCTGGTAACCGCCCCAGAAACCTTCATATCAGCCCTGAGCTGCCACCAACATACCTCTGGCAACACTGTCCTGACCCCAAAACGCTCGCTTACATTACTATCTTTTTTTCTTAGGTCACAAACCAGTGGTCTTTTAGCTCCGCCCCCTCGACTTAACCTCAGCAGCAGGCCCCACCCAGCCAACAAACCCCGCCCCCGGAAGTCCCTCCCCCTAACCAGCCTCCGCTTCCTCTATGCCCACCCGGTGGCTTTCAGCACCTCCTCCAACTGGAGGTCTCTCTCGCCCCCAGGCCTCCCCGGCGATACCTCTACGCCCCACTCCGGGAACTCCCTGAGCCTCTCTCGCATTCCAGGGGCTAAGAAGTCCTAGGGTGCGAACTAGCAGAGAAAGCTGGTCCCTCACCCTCCACCGAGCAGCCACTGGGCGAACTCCGCCCCTTCCCACCTCCTCAGATGCAACGGGCTCAACTTTGCCTTCCCTTGTCACGGATTGGCTCACTGTGCACTAACCACCGCCCACTCTTGAGCGGCGTTTCCAAGTGGGTGCTGGTGGCCGTCGCTCAGGCAGCGAGGCGTCGGATTGGCTGGCGTTGCTGTCCTAAACTTTTCTTCCTGGTCCCGCCTTCTTTGCCTCAGAGCCCTCTGGATTGGCTGAGCTTCTCCATCTACCTGAAGCGGGGACCGCGCTCTAGGTTGCCGAGCGCGTCCACCTGGCGCGGGGTGGGGGTGGGAGGGGAACCTTGCACCGCGTTGAGAATTGTGTTGCGTCGGCTGCAGGCTGACCCGAGGAGGAGGACGAACAAGCTGGTGTGGGACTCAGGAGGCCCGGGTGTGAGACCCGCTCTGCCGTGACCGGGGGCAGCAGCCACACCTCTGAACCTCAGTTGTGTCCTGAAGGTTCCTGACACCCTCAGTGCCCCGCTGCTTCGCCCCCCTCACCCCGACGGCTCGGGCTCCCGACTCCGTAATGGCGGAGTCCGAGAACCAGCCGCGCGGGCGTGAGTGCTGTCGCAGTCCTGGCCTGAACTCCGGGCACGAGGCCCTGCATTCCCCCGGGACAGGAGAGTTAGGGCATGGCTGCTGGTGAAGACATCTTTGAGGCGTCCCCAGACAAAGGAAAGGCTGTACTTCGGGAGTTAGTGACACCTGCCTCTTTACCGACCAGAGCAATATGTCCACAGGGTTAATTGAGTGCCTGTAACCCACTACTCCCTGCTTCACCCCTACTACTCCCCCCTTCACCCCCGCTCTATCCACTGAGCCAAACCAGTTAGGGCAAGGTTGCAGGTTTGATCTCCTGTTAGGGCACATAAAAGAATCAACCAGTGAACGCATCAATAAGTGGAACAACAAATCAGTGTTTCTGTATCTCTCACACACACTCTCTAAAGTCAACAATTTTTTTTTTTTTAAAGATAAGAGATGAGGGACAAGAGAAAAAAAGAAGTCAAGGATGGCCAGAATTGTAGCATGAGCAATGGTGTGGCTGACAGAGTCATCTTCTGAGATGGGGGCAATGGGGAGGAAAATTGAGAGTTCTGTTTTTGACCCTATGCAGAGATTCCCCTTAGCCAGTTAGACTTGTGAGCCTGAAGATCCCGTGAAACGTCGGGGCTGGAGGTACATATTGGGAGTGTCATGGGCATATAGATAGTATTTAAAGCTGGGGACTGGAGGAAAACCTTGTGGGGCAGAGGGCTGCTGGAGTTGCTAAGCAGTAAGGAGCATACCAGTGGTCGGCAAACTGCGGCCCCTTGAGTGTGGCTCTTCCACAAAATACCACGTGCGGGTGCGCACGTACAGTGCGGTTGAAACTTCGTGGCCACACTCAAGGGGCCAAAGAGCCGCATGTGGCTCTCGAGCTGTAGTTTGCCGACCACTGGCATAGGCTGTTTGGGAAGCTAAAGCAACCATGTTTCTATAGGTGCAAAAGGATCGATGAAGATGAGTTTGGGCAAAAAGACTGTGGACTTGGCACACTCTGGGATCGCCATGCATACTGGCTCTAGATATTTAAAGTTACAGTTCTTTCAACCTCTGTGCAAATCTGAAGGTGCTCCCTCTGGTCAGTGCACACCAGTGGCCACCAGAGCTTAATGAACCAAGTGTGCCCTGGATTTAGGCTTCTCTCACCCCCCAGGAGCACCATTAAAGCAGGGCACAGCTTGGAGGCTTTGCTTCTCAAAGTGGGGCACACAGGGCTACAGGTACCAGGACACATCTTTCTAGAGCACCATTTAGTTGTTTGTATTTTTTTTTTTTATAAAAGCTTTCATTTAGGGAATAGAGGTACTAAGCTAGTATAGACAGATTATAGCACATGAAAAACTATGTGAAATTTAAAGCTAAAACTAAAGACATTTCTTACTTATAGTAGTAACTTTCCCCCAAGGAAAAAGATTACAAAGCTTTGCTTCTATGTTTCTGTGCATTTGTAGAAGTTAGAAAAATATGTGCCGTTTAGCATTTGTTAAATGCTAGCAATATGCTAACAATATAGTCTCTGATTCCAAAATAGCCTTTCTTTTTTTTTTTTAAATATATTTTATTGATTTTTTACAGAGAGGAAGGGAGAGAGATAGAGAGTTAGAAACATCGATGAGAGAGAAACATCGATCAGCTGCCTCCTGCACATCTCCTACTGGGGATGTGCCCGAAACCCAGGTACATGCCCTTGACCGGAATCGAACCTGGGACCTTTCAGTCCACAAGCCGACGCTCTATCCACTGAGCCAAACCGGTTTTGGCCAAAAATAGCCTTTCTTGTCTCTATTAGACAGAAGAAGAGACTGAGCTTCAGCATGGTTAAGTAATTTGACCATGGTCACTCAGTGAATACAAGTCAGAGCTGAGACTGAATGTTGGTCTTTATAGCCACACCCCTAATCACTATTATAGATCTGTCTTGGTAGAGTGTTCCCACATGGTTGTAATGCCCAAGGCCAGAGGATTTGGACTCAGCTGGGGGCAGGATTATCCTAGTTATTGGAAGAAATGGTGGCACAGAAGAAGGAGCCCAGAAGCAAGAAGAGGGGCAGCTAAGATGGGTGATCCTTGCTCAAAGACTGCCCCCCAGGGGCCGGACCTGCTGCTTGCTTGTGAATCTTTGGAAGACAGGTGATGGCAGACATCATCACTAGGGCTTCTCTCTACTATCTAGGCCAGTGATGGCGAACCTATGACACGCGTGTCAGAGGTGACACGCGAACTCATTTTTTGGGTTGATTTTTCTTTGTTAAATGGCATTTAAATATATAAAATAAATATCAAAAATATAAATCTTTGTTTTACTATGGTTGCAAATATCAAAAAATTTCTATATGTGACACGGCACCAGAGTTAAGTTAGGGTTTTTCAAAATGCTGACATGCCAAGTTCAAAAGGTTCGCCATCACTGATCTAGGCTGCAGAGATTCTATTCTTACAGCAGACTATCTTTTCCAAGATGGCCTTGACAAGATCTTCCCTTCCACACACTCATCCTACAATATGACAGTGATGCTCCTCCCATCAGGAAAGGTCTCTTACCTGAGTCTGGGAGGGACTGTCTCCTCCAGGGAGATGTGACATTCAAGAGGCTAGGTTATAAAAGAAGATACAACCCACCTAGTGTGGCTCAGTGGTTGAGCATCAGCCTAAGAGCCAGGAAGTCATGGTTTGATTCCCAGTCAGGGCACATGCCAGGGTTGCAGGCTTGATCCCCAGGAGGGGGGCATGCAGGAGGCAGCTGATCAACGATTCTCTCTCATCATTGATATCATTGATGTTTCTATGTCTCTCCCTCTTCCTTCCTCTCTGAAATCAATAACAAAATTCTTTTAAAGGGGGATACAGCTTCTGGTTGGTCCTCTTGGGATAATTGCTCCTAGAGCCGCACCGCAATGCTGTGAAGAAGCCCAGGCCACACAAAGAGGCCGCATGTGTTTCAGCCACAGCCACAGCCACTGTGTTTGGATTGTAGCCAGTTTTCTTAATGCTGGCGCTGACTTCCTTTTTTAAAGATTTTGTATTGATTTTTAGAGAGAGAGAGGAAGGGACAGGGAGAGAGAGAGAAACATCGATGCGAGAATGAAATATCCATCAGATGCCTCCTGCACGCCCCACACCGCGGATTGAGCCTGAAACTCGGGCATGTGCTCTGACTGGGAATCCAACCAGCCACCCTTTGGTGCAGGGGGTGATGTCCAATCAACTGAGCCACATCTCCCAGGGCTAAGTGCTGACTTCTTTAACAATATCCTCCTTTGTATCTCTTCTGGCTGCAGGGTGGCTCAGTGGAATCCACGTTGTTAACACCAATAATCAGCTGTTTCACACCCAGTGCGTAAGCCAGAAGGGCATGCTCACGGGTCTGTCCATTCTTGGAGATATACTACCTGCTTCAAATTCACCAAGAGCAGCAGCAACACTCAGGACAGCACAGTCAGCCTGAGGAGTGCCTGTGATCATGTCTCTGTGTCCTGGGGCATCAGTGATGGTCACCTAATACTTGCTGGTCTCGAATTTCCACCAGGAGGCATCAATGGTGATACCGCGCTCACGTTCAGCTTTCAGTTTCTCCAAGACCCAGGCATACTGAAGGAGCCCTTCCCATCTCAGCAGCCTCCTTCTCAACATTTCCGACGGTTCCCTTGCGAATCCCACCACATTTGTAGGTCAGGGGCCCAGCAGGGGTGGGCTTGCCGGAATCTGTGTGTCCAAGAATGACGAGTCTGCCTTTCTCGTTTTGGGTTTGACTTAGTGGTGGTTTTCACGACGCACCTGTGTTCTGGAAGCAAACCTGTTGGGAAAAAGGAGGTGATGAGCTTTAACTATTTATGACGAATGATTCTGGCTCCAATTACGATGTGTTCCCTGCTCCTCCTCTACCCTCCCCCCAGCCCCCCACATCCAAGCAATTGCTAGACACCAGCAGCTGGGTGTCCCACGACTTAACTCAATTCTGCTACCATCTACCAGGAGTGCTAAATGGATGTGCTCTGTTAAAGCGTTTTATTCATGCCACCTCTCACTAATTAATTAATTAACTAATTAATTCATAATTCCGTTTAGAATTCTTTATTCAAGAAAAGAAAACAAAAGAAAAAGAAAACAAAAGGAATTCTTTATTGAGCTGCTATTCTGGGCACCGAATTTAAGAGAGCCGCCGGTTGGGTCGTTTGTGGGCGGGCGGGGGCGGGGCCTCGTGGGTTTCCCCGCCCACCACAGCGAGGTCCAATCGGGTCCGCGGAGGCCCG